AAATCAGTGGCGTACATAGCAACAAAACTATTATTTATAATTAATGACCCACCGGTGGGTCATGCCGTCGTCAATTAAATAACATCAAAATAATACAAAACTGCAGATGTTACCAATCCATGAAGATTCGCTTTCTGTGACGTGCAGATCGCTATTCGCATCCTCGAGCTGCGGTATGAGGATAGCAGAGAAAGCCAAAGAGATTCCAACGACGATATGACCGGAAGCAGAAATCGCAGTCGCTATGATCTGAAAAAGCAAGCAAAACTGTAATTCACAAAAAAAAAAAGGTTCAAGGTTATTGAAAATATGAAAATATTTGGACGAAAAGCAGATTTTAAAAGCTTTCGATGATATAAAACGCATTTGCGGAGGAGGAGGCAGCGAAGAAAGAAAAAATCACATCCATGATGCAACGTTGTTTTGGCAGTGGTATGAAACTATTTATATTCGTCTATTTATTCTCGACGTGAGGAAATACGCCTTTCGGACATTTAAGAAGAAAAATTTTTTTTTGTAGGCAAATTAAAATTGAAGTGGTGTTGCGTACTTTGAAACTGGTGCCTCGGGGGTAATTGAAATATGGGACAAAGGCACACACGAATTAATCGCAATTTCCATTAACCATTTCGAAAGTCTGCTCAAGAAGTTAATTACTTTTATGCAACTTCACCTTCGAAAATGAAGCACATTGTTAATAATAATTGTCTATTAACTAAATTTCTTGTGTAACTTCATTACTAATAAGTCATTGCATTGATTTGGATTGCTTTTTCAGTTACGAAATGGAACTGATTTGGATATTAAATGTGTTGTGTCAAGTTAAGAGAATCGATTATGCCACCCCATCAACACGAGAGCTGCTTTCAAACGAATGGGATTTATGGATAAACAAACAAGGTGGGTTTTGGAAGCGTTTCCAAGGCAATTCTAATGTTTGGTTTTGAACGAAGCGATGCGAAAAAGTTGGCGTCGATCGCGGAAGTCGCGTTAATTCCATTCAAATTTATTCGCTCGGTGTTTATTAATTTCGAAGATTTATTCAAAAGCAAAAACACGAATTCCGTTTAGCTTGGTGTCAAAAAACAAGAAAAATCCACCGTTTTATGTGATGATTTTTCCCGATTTATTATATAAGTGAACTACAGGACTGGATTAAGGGAAGTTCTTTGAAGATTTAGAGCAAAACAACTTGAATATAAATAATAATTGTGAATTTTTCAGAATTGAAAATTTGCAGAAATATAAAGCAGATGAGTGGAGAATATTTGTGGTGAGTGCATCAATATTATTAGTTAACAAAGCAAAATTATCTCTCGTACTCGGTAAAACGATTTCCGCCAAACGGATTTTCAATTATCAGCACGCAAATAAAAGTTGAAACAATGGAGTATTGAGCTGTGCGTCGTTTCATATTCATAACTCGTAAATTGGAACATTACATGCACACTTTTGTTCCATTCTTTCGTTTCGTAATTTTCCATTTCTCTTTATGCAAAATTATGCTTATGATAAGACGTTCGATTCGATTTGTGTAACTCGATGGAATTTACCTGCGGTATCAGGGATTTGAAGTTCTGGCTTTCGTAGCCGCTCAGGGATTTGCAGCTGACGATGACTTCGCTGAACTGATCCTCCGGATGGTTCTTGTCGTTGCCTCGAGTGTTGTCTTCGATGCTGCAAAAGAGACGAGTTTAATAACTCACAATAGAGGCAGTTATGGTTTTTTTTTTAAGTTCAAGGCGGTTTTTTTTTTGGCAGATCCTTTCGAACAATCAATGGATCTTCGAAGTTTAACGCCAAACGCTTAGAATTTATCGGCTCTAGGATTACACAATTAGAAAAATGGAATTGAGTAATCGTTGTTTTGTTTCTATTTGCAATTTTATTGTCTTTGAACTTTGTTCGCAATTTTTAATCAATATTATTATTAAATTTTTGTGTTGTTGTTCTCCGTCTACGAGATTAAATGGATATGGGTGTTGTACATCTGTAATGGTTGATTACATTAAAAAAAAATCGAACAGTCACGCGATCCGAATTAGTTAGTTGTCCGTGAGCCGCACTCTTGTTTTACGTAACGATTTCGTTCGTCTCGGCCAATTAAACGGGAATACACTTTGAAACTGCCCATGATGATGATGATGTTAACGTCACACGTTGCACTCGTCGACAAACGATGCATAAATTGGAATCAATATTTAATTTTTTTAAATTTGTTTTCCTTGCTGTTTGATCGTAATTTCTTAACGAAGCTCTTTGATCATCCCGATGTCAAATTGATTGCGAGATGAGGGCGATCCATAACATTGTTGTTGCATTATTGAAAGTTCCGTTAATTGATTGAAATTGTGTGTGTGTGTGTGNNGAATGTCAAATTTCGAATCTTCTGAGCCAACATTTTATTTTTTTTTTCTTCTCTCTCCAATTAATTATAATAAGGGCATAGTTTTCATTTATATTGAGCAATACTATTTCAAAAATATGATTATTACATAATTTCCATAGTTCATTGACAATTTAAAAACTTAACTTTGAATGAAATTTGTGTTTATTTTTACTAACATTTCAACTCCCATTTATTCCATTTTACAATATTTACATCACAAAGTATCCTTTGTAAATGAGTAGAAAGTTGCGTGTATTCAAGTATTGCTCTAGTTTCATCCATTTGACTGTAATATGACTTTTTTTTTTGCTGAAAATTGAAAATTGCTTCAATTCCATTTACATAATTTCGTTTTCCAATATATTTTCGTCTATTTGCTTCGTCAGTGGAAAAGTTTCCAACAACATTTTTAACCTTTTCATCAATTATATACACTTACTATGTTTCATTCATTTGCATTGTAATAACATTAATTTAAAAAAAAAATTAACATTAAACGCGAGAAATATCAGGTTTTTGCGCGAATTATGTTTGCATTTATCACTCTCAAGTTCATTTAATTTAA